TCTTCTTGCGTGGATTGTTCTTTGGTGGAATAACAACGCCACCAAGGTTATAGATCTCGCTGCGAAGGAGGCCGAGATTGACAGGAGACGACAGAGGGCTCTGTCAAACGCCGAGACGGTTGAGTGGTTAAACTTTTTGATAAACAGATGGTAAGTGTCTGTCGGCCATAACTTAAATGTGGGTGAAAATGCGAAGATTTTTTGTTTAAATATTTAAGTACTACAAAGCGACTGGCATGACCTATAAGACAAGTGACTGTATTGCAAAAACCAAGACACTTTAACCTCGAAACTTAATTGAGAACTCGATTAGTTCTCCCCCATTCTCCCCAAGCTTAGATAGAAACAGCTGTTAGATTCATTCTTTGCAGAATAGAAGCTCCCGTGAAATCGCTTATATTTGTTTGGCTGGCCGGCTGAACGAACTAGTCCCTCGTAATAGTCTTACATAACCGCTTGAACATACCATCAGAACGTCTAGTTTTTTTTCGATACTGATTTGAAACTACGGGTTGTGTTTAAAAAAGAGATAAGATTAATCGCTGAAGTTATTTGGTATTCATTCCTTTCGGTTCTCCTCGAACTATAACAAAATTCAAAAAATAATAGAAAATTATTTCTACTGTAACACACATTTTCATTTATCTGAGAATCAGTAAGCAAGAGGATTAAAAAACGCTGACTTGCAAGCTATGACTGCAAAACCTTAGGACGCATTCGTCTCATCTGCTTAAAAATATTTTTTAAGACTTAAATTTTGAGAAAGAATACATTTACGTGACCTTTTTTATGTAGCGTTTTATAAGCTCAAAGTTACTTCAAACAAAAACAATAGACACAAAAACCTTTGTTTTCCTTTTATCTCTCGAGTTCTATATTGGGCATAGAATTCAACCTCAGCGCACAATTCTCATCAACTTTAGGAAACAACCACGCCAAAACTTTTAAAGTTGCATGAAGCAGTAATGGAATTAAGTCAAATCTCAACCACATCATTAAAATGTCTGTAATGGAATTTATATAGTTTTACTTAAGCATATCATTAAAGGAAAGAACGCGAAAGAAATCTTAAAACTGATCAAAATAAAAACTTTTTTCACTTTACGCTGATTTTCATCACTTTCGTGCCGAAGGTGGTAATGAAACTTCATGAGGCCTTCGATGATAAAAGCTCAGTTTAAAACTAAATCTTAAAACTGATCAAAATAAAAACTTTTTTCACTTTACGCTGATTTTCATCACTTTCGTGCCGAAGGTGGTAATGAAACTTCATGAGGCCTTCGATGATAAAAGCTCAGTTTAAAAAATACAATAAATTATTTACTAGATAATATGGCGCATACATGGGACGAAATTAATTTGATCCGATCTGCGAAACGAGACAATTACTGCTTTGAAGATTTACAAATTCTTTTCCAATACCGAGGTGCTTTCCTTTATCCTGAGAAGAGCCAAAAATATATTTAGTTGGAAAATCAACGACAAGAATCTAATTTAATACTTTCTCTCCATCTTTCTCGTACTTATCACTACTAGAACAGACTAGGTGCCACTCAATAGACACAGTTCTTCTGAGATGTAATACTTCTGTTGGCCAGAACCTCTTTAGAACCTCTAATTTGATAGGTTCTTGTTGGCCCGAAGCTCTGTTGTTTCAGAGTTGGGGTTCATTGTTAGTTTTGTTTGGGATAGAGATATCTATTGTTTTCTAAACCAATCCTGTAAGACTTTGGACAACAACTACCAGTTACGTTTCTTGTAAACTTTGTAATTTCGATCCACTGAGCATCAACTTTAGTTTTAACCGTTTTATACTGCAACAAAATATTAATACACTTACGCAAACAAAGAAGAAACTGCGATGGGTCGGTAGAAGAGAGTTAACGAGTAAAGTCTGACCTCAAGCGACCAGAACCCACAAATGCTAAGATTCAGTGCTCGCTTACGAGGGAATTTTACGAGGGTCGAAACACAAGGGATCTCTTTCGGGTAAAGGTCTGACATATCTACTGATGAAAAAAAAAAAAATAATTGCATACAAGTTTCCAGTCAAAATACGTGCCGTGCCATGTTGAAACTCTGAGTAGCGTAGTATGTACAGCGCACATAAGTGGCAAGTGCTCGCTGGCAGGGTGTCACCTCCATACCCCTTGCACTTCTATAGTGAGTATGATCAGAATCTATTTTCTCCTTTAAATAATACAGCTTAATCACACAAAAAGGTCATAAGAATCAAGGATAAGATCACCAATTAAAAACGGTTTGGATTGTCAAATGAATTATCCTTATCAGTGCCACGTGACGTCACGGCGGCCATGGCGGTGGTTAACAACAAAGGCATTTCTCCTCTCTGGGAACTAAACTCCATTTTAATGAATATTCTCCGAAAAAAGCTTATTGTTTTGACCAGCAACATGGCCTCTTTCTCACGTAGTCGCATACCAAGAATATGGGTGCTTATAATAGGCCATGGCAATAAATGAAAGGGGGTTGAGAATGTGCTAGTTCATCATCTACGGTGTATTAAAAAAGCTTAAACAAAAGAAGCCTCCATTAGAATTCCAACTAACATGACTGTTATCTTGTAGGTTTGTTTTTAGCGACAGATCACTGCACAGCTTAATCAAGAACAGTTTAGATCCCATACTGGAGTCGCAAAAGCCGTCCTATGTAGGTAAGAGCTTAGATTAATGGAACATGAAGAAGAGTATGTGATATTCATTCGAACTGCGGATTACAAGTTTAAAGAGAGAAAACTGTACTGAAGACTAACTCAAGTAGATTGTAGCGTTGAAAGCGAAAGATTTTAAATTTAAGGGGTTTGTTGTAGCGATCTTTGTTTACCAACTGATGTCGAAATCGAGTGATCAATTGAATAATTGATCGATCGTTTAGCTCAAGACCGAACGGTTGACAGATTGATTGCGGATTGATTAATTGTTTGATGGGGTAAGAGATAAACTTATTTACGATGGTTTATTGATAAACTAAATGACTGTTGATGTTCTCTTTAAGCCGAAAGCTTTGTTGGTAGCCTGTTCGACCGAAAAACAAATGGTTAACTGGTCGGTTATTTAGTTAATTGCTTGACCACCCAACTTATCGATTGACTTATGACAAGTCACCGAGGCGATTGATTGATTGATTTTGATTGATTGATTGACAAATTGATTGATCGCTGTTGGCCTATGCTTTCACGTTTTGATCGCTTGCATCATGCAGGTCATGGATTTCATATCAGTGGAACTTGGGTTCCGAAATCCAGTATTTATCAGAATTCCGGATTTCTTGAGCAGAATTGTGGATTCCAAAGTCGAGAATTCCGGATTACCTTACATGTGGCGGATCATTATACATCTACCCCTCCCCTATGCCAACATCGATGCTTCCTTCTCACTTAGGGCAAAATGTTGGCTTAGGAGAGGGGTAGGTGGGCAGTTTCCCAGAAACGTATAATGATCTCATGGGGCGATTTAGTCATATTGATTGCTTGATTGATTTGTTGAAAAAGTTTATCTTTATGTTTTTGTTTTCTTCTGTTCAGGGTCTATCGAGGTTCTGGACTTTACTCTTGGTAACAGAACACCATACCTCAAGCACGTGACAATCTACGACCATCCCGATGATCAGAGATATATTAGAGCGTCCGAGCTCAACTTTAACCACCCTCCTGACGATTTAATAACAAGAGGGAAATACCAAGTGGTTATTCACCTCGACGTGGGTCTGACATCACCCGAAGCTAGATTTATCATTCGAATGAGACTCGGGAACAAGGGGTATGGACTATCTTCTGTTTTAAGCTAAGTGCAAACGAACGAAACAACTCCCAACATTGTGGACCGTAGCTTAAAGACTGACCGGTTAAAAACTTTGCGCATCAACTCCCAACAACACGCAACAACATGCAAGGGTGTGCAACAATGTTGGGAGTTGTTGGCCAACAATGTTACGTCCGTTTGCATGGGGCTTTAGTATTTTTTCAAAAACAAAAAAAACAAAAGGCGAAAGATGTTTTTTCAGTTAGTGGCACAGGTCGCTCGGAAGGAAAAATCTGAGTTCTCCCAATCAAGAGTCAAACCTATGACCTTCTGGTTACTATTCAACCAGATCCTCTACCACTGAGCTACAGACCAAATGATGAATGATGAATTTTACCTCTAGCGAATACACGAGAAAGATGTTTCTCATCTTTCTCATGTATTCTCCTTGACATAGGTTTTTGAACTAGGAAAACAATGACAAACCTTACTGAATGCGGCGTGCTTCTTCTTCATTTCTTTGCAGGTTTCTTGGTACGTGTACCGACGTGGCAGTAGAGGATTTTCAAATCAGTGGAAAACTCCAACTCGTGCTGTTATTCAATCAAAATGTTCCTTTTCCTCATCTGGCCTCTGCGTCGATCTGTTTCACAGAAGAGTAAGAGAAACGTCCATTAAAGCAATTTATACTCGTGGCCGAGCGGTTAAGGTGCTGGACCTGTAATCCAGAGGCCCCAAATCCAAGTCCTGCACTGAACGCTAGCTGGACTTGTTCCTTGTAGTCTCGAGTTTAAATCCTCGGCCACGCTTGCAAAATAGCCAATTGGTTCGTCTCATACCAGTTGGGATGCATGTTATGTTCCATTTGAGTTATTTGTTTCGTTATCTCTGAAACGCCCCATAAGGGAGAGGATAATTTAGAGCATTTTATTATTTTTACTGTTATTTGTTGTTGTGGGTAGAATCAGTTCCTCAGAAGGCTCTTATTTGTCTATCTAAATTAAGGCCAAAATAATTTAACTTTCAGAGTCTCATGGATCAACACGCTGAAATGAGTTACAGAATGGGCTAAACAAGTTCTTTAATGGAGATGTTTTGGCCTAAATCGTCCTAAATTGGCTCCTAAAGAGGTTGAATTAGATACTGAGTTCGCAGTCTCTCGTTCAGCATCAGATGGCAAACTTGGTTATCTCCCCCGCGATATTTCGGAAGTCGAACTAAATGTTAACGCAAGAGGACTGAACACACTGGTAGTATGACCTTTTCAGTTGCAGTTTTCTTTTTTATTTTATGCCAGACCGGACGTATCATTCAACATTCGTCTCCTGAAAGCAGTGCAGTTGATGGAGTTCCCTCTTCTAAGACAGTGGATCACGCAGATAGTCAATGAATATCTTAAATTTGGTAACTGGAATTTTGTAATTGCTATTTCTCACGTTCTGTTTACTAGTAATGTTGTGTTACGACTGCTTAGAATACATTACAGAGATTTTGAGTGACGGTTGGGACAAACAACAAACGTCAGAGTTCAAGTTGATATCTCTGACAAAAACTGTCCAGGACAACTTTTATGGACAAAGCTAACGCGAAACTACTATTTTTTGGGGGAGAAGTAATGAACAGTAAACGACAAGAAAAGGGGAAACTTAGTCAGGTGATACAAATTCACGTCTGCTGTTTGCCGTAAACCTGACTCTAAATCTCTCTAATGACTTTGAAAAATTTCGACAAAGTTTGGATTTTAGTGGGATACTGGCTGATGCACGCCTGGCAATTACCTTAATGCTTTAAACTGAAATTGTACCACAGAAGGATTGAACATGTACCTCAACTGGTAACATGAAAGTGAAACCTCTGTACCATTCCACTTCCTAACTACAAAGTATGTCCGTTTCAGTGGTGGCGGGATTGTTCAGATGTATAAGTTTTTGACTTACTTGTAATAAAGTTTGCTTCCAATTATATGACAGAAAAAAATGCCTTGTTCCTTAAATAACCGCCCAACGTAAGAGAATCCAAATGCAAGACAGTGCTGGATTATGGATTCTAGGTACTGGATTCCAGTATCTGTCAGTGAAATTTGGATTCCGGATTCAAATCGTTAGTGGGATTCGGGATTCCTTGAACTGTATTTCGGATTCCAAAGCCCAGGATTCTGGACTCCACGAGCTAAAATTTCCCGCGAATAGGCCCTTTGCAGCTAGCCATTCACGAGGTACAAAACCGCCGTACTGGAGAGCAAAAGTCGGACCGGGACAAGACAAACAAAGAAAATTACCATTTAAAATTATGTATGTCTTTTGTTTGTCTTGTCCCAGTGCGACTTTTGCTCTCCAGCATGGCGGTTTTGTACCACGTGACTGCCTAGCTGCAAAGGGCCTGTTAGGGTTCACTAAAAGGTTTTTAAAACGCCTTGTTCTCACCTACAGCTCTTGTGGATCCTGGTCACGTAACAATTCCTTTTTGTGATGATCCTGACGTTGTAGGAAGAGGTGCAGCGTATGGTAAGTAACTTTGAACAGAAAAAAAAAAAACTTTGAAGAGATACCTTACTTAAAATATATACTACTTATCAACCTCGTCTGTTCGGTCATTACAAGGTCAATACATCAAGGCCGAGGACCTGAGCTTGCGACCAATTAAAACCAACAACTGATCAGCGGATAACTTAAAAAAACACGTCACCTCAATGAGTTGTACACTTGAGCCCGCGATACATTCAGGTGACACAATATGCGTTATTGACGAAGTGTGACGTGAGGTCAAGATGTCTGCATATTGGCCAAGGTCTTTTCTTGCGTTTTATGAACCTACATGAAGAACGAGACCAATAACCGGCCATCTAGACCAAACAAGCTTGGTAAATTAAGGATTTGTTATGTTTGAAGAGTTAGAAAAGCCTTCATCATTCAACCTTTATTTTTCAGCATGTGGAGTTCTTACGCTGACGATTAACGGAGGATCTCATGGAAAACTGACAGGTTAGAAAGCGTTTTTGTTGGTAACAGAGCCTTTTCACATGACGTCACGGCGGCCATATTGTTGCCCCAAACATTGAAACGGCGGCCATGTTGGTGTCCCAAACCAATCCTGTGGGAGTTAAACTATTTTCTTATGCAAACGCTTTCTATTGCGTAGATGCTGGCCACGTGAGTGAAAACACCCTATAGACAGTATCCGCCACACTTTTTTGATTATCGTGATTGGCACCCTGCAAGCAGAGCCTCCACTTATTGACTGAGTATGAGAAAGGAGTTCTACCTAAATCGCATAAAGCCTTTGAAGTCGCCGCAACCCCACCTTCTGGACTGGTCAATCTTGTTTTCTCTCGTCAATTTAGCCTGCGAGCAAGCTCTCCGGGGCGCTCTGGCGGCGGGGCGGGAAAAGGAAGGAGAGCTTGTAACTACGTCCCTGGAATTTGAATTCCGCCTCTAATTCCCCTGTGGCTCCCCGTCTACTAAACTGTCAGATTGCCGCCAATCAGCGCGGAGCGGAAACGAGCGCGAATGTAAACAAACATTGAAAAACACGTGCCGAGGATAATGACGTCATTACTAATGTCATCTCCACCAATCAGCATTTGGCATCGACTTTCTTGATGTAGATATTCAAATTCCAGAGACGTAGTTCCAAACTCTCCTTCCTTTTCCCGCCTCACCGCCAGACCGCCCCGGAGAGCTTGTTCGCAGGCTCGTCAATCTGTTTTTTCGATTGCGAGCATCCGTTCATTCATTAAATGGATGGTTACAACTGAGCCCGCTATACCAAACCCATGGCTATTAAGCCTGGGTTTGAAATTATATCCTAGCAACAGGCGGCGCATGCTCAAATAAGATCTTACGCCATCCACGCAGAGTAATTCTCGAGTAAGCAAAAATCGAGAAAGCAAAAGAAAGACTCTACTGGCTGGGTGCGTGATTGGGTACGGTATCAATCCACTTTACTTACTTGAATGATTTTGCCCACCAAATCGTTTGCGTTCTAGATGACCCTTACTGGTGCTCTGTGAAGATTGCCGGTCAAAAGCGATTTACTAGGGAGGTGATAGGAGATACCGCCTGGACTGAAAATATATCCTTACTGGTGTATCACCTGTATGCAGACAAGGTAATACAGAAATTAATGTCGGTTACATTTCAACAAACAGTGACTGAGCAATGGATCTTTAATGCAAACAGGGCAAACTTGAAAAAGCTTTCGGGACCTCAAATGGGTTCAAGGCTCCCGAAAAACGGTCCCCCACCTAGGGTATAGTTTTTTGGGAACTTGAGCAACGCCTACGAAGACGTCAGTGAAAACGTCACATTGAAAATAGAAACGCTATTTTTTTTCCAAACTTTGTGAACCGTATTCCAACACGCTTATGACATGTCAAAAAAAGGTGAAATTTGTATTAACTGAATTTCCGGGGACCGCACCAAAGTTTAAAACGTCGCAAATCTATTGCCTTTTTGACGTTCTCCTTCACCTTACTGTTGACACCGTCACTGATTTAATAATCCTAATAAGCCCTTGATTGATTGACGAGGACTCCCACTGTTGTTTGCTTTGCCTAGCTGACAGTGACACAACCCGTGTTGATCATGTTTTTTTTTCAGCTGATAATCAAACTAAAAGGAAGACGAAAACTTGGTACGAAGTACACTATCGCTGAACATGTCTTGCAGTTATCCACACTATGCCTGGAGAGCAATCCTCATCAGTAAGTGCTCTAGGGAAATGTGCTGACAAAGTTTAAATTGTTTCTTACTCGCAGAAATGGTCAAAATTAAAATTCAGAGGGGGGGGGGGGATGCCGAAAAAACAAAAAGGACTACACAAAAGTGCTGCTAAAGGGGTCTCATTAAGATCGCCACAGCTAGTATTTTGTGCACCAAAAAATGGTAATTGCGGCAGTGGACAGACTGCTTCTTAATTATGTTTCGGGGATAGAAATCGAGAAAGGGAGCGGAGGGCTCAGTTTGTAGGTTCTTTGTTGTGCCTAAAATACTTTAACTTGAATTCTAACTATAATCCTAAGCTACCTTCATTCTAACCCGTACCTGCACCTGCGAATAGACCTTATAGAAAGTTTGCTTATTCTAGACAACAGAAAATGAAGATGGCAAATGATGGGTGTAAATGATCATTGTTACCTTTTTGGATGTAGTAGCGACTATAAATGTCTCCACAGCAAGTAACAATGACTAAAAACTAGTCGAAACTCGAACTGTACATTTTGCATGACTAGTAAATCCTTGTCTCCTTTTAAGAGAATAACCAAACTCGACCGCGAATTCTAGTATTGGCCAATTTTTTCGCTTGTTTGCTCCCTGAAATACCACGTGACATTATTTTGGCCCCATCAATCCTAAACCGCGGACAAATTTGACGCGTATCGTGAATAAGGTCTATTGCACCCAGCAGAATGGCGGCCATTTTCTCTGTCACAAAAAAATCACGTCGTTTTCAAGCAGGCTAGGCCTGACTCATTTTCACGTTAAAACCACGTGACGTCACACAGTTCACCACTGCCTCAAAAAGACAAGAGTGGAATCTCGAAAGCACTTTAGTAATCTGTGATTTCTATGAAGGAGTATTACCCATCAGCTTTATTTTTATTTAACGTATAGTGTATATTTATAACAACGCCACCAAGGTTATAGATCTCGCTGCGAAGGAGGCCGAGATTGACAGGAGACGACAGAGGGCTCTGTCAAACGCCGAGACGGTTGAGTGGTTAAACTTTTTGATAAACAGATGGTAAGTGTCTTCGGCCATAACTTAAATGTGGGTGAAAATGCGAAGGTTTTTTGTTCAAATATTTAGGTACTACAAAGCGACTGGCATGAGCTATAAGACAAGTGACTATATTGCAAAAACAAAGACACTTCAACCTCGAAACTTAATTGAGAACTCGATTAGGATTACTGAAAGTTCACCCCCATTCTCCCCAAGCTTAGATAGAAACAGCTGTTTGATTCATTCTTTACAGAATAGAAGCTCTCGTGAAATCGCTTATATTTGTTTGGCTCGCCGGCTGAACGAACTAGTCCCTCGTGATAGTCTTACATAACCTCTTGAACATACCATCAGTGCGTCTAGTTTTTTTAGATACTGATTTGAAACTACTGGTTGTGTTTAAAAAAGAGATAAGATTAATCGCTGAAGTTATTTGGTATTCATTCCTTTAGGTTCTCCTCGAACTATAACAAAATTCAAAAATAATAGAAAATTATTTCTACTGTAACACACATTTTCATTTATCTGAGAATCAGTAAACAAGAGGATTAAAAAACGCTGACTTGCAAGCTATGACTGCAAAACCTTAGAACGCATTCGTCTCATCTGCTTAAAAATATTTTTTAAGACTTAAATTTTGAGAAAGAATACATTCACGTGACCTTTTTTATGTAGCGTTTTATAAGCTCAAAGTTACTTCAAACAAAAACAATAGACACAAAAACCTTTGTTTTCCTTTTATCTCTCGAGTTCTATATTGGGCATAGAATTCAACCTCAGCGAACAATTTTCATCAACTTTAGGAAACAACCACGCCAAAACTTTTAAAGTTGCATGAAGCAGTAATGGAATTAAGTCAAATCTCAACCACATCATTAAAATGTCTGTTATGGAATTTATACAGTTTTACTTACGCACGGCATTAAAGGAAAGAACGCGAAAAAAATCTTAAAACTGATCAAAATAAAAACTTTTTTCACTTTACGCTGATTTTCATCACTTTCGTGCCGAAGGTGGTAATGAAACTTCATGAGGCCTTCGATGATAAAAGCTCAGTTTAAAACTAACATAAATTATTTACTAGATAATATGGCGCATACATGGGACGAAATTAATTTGATCCGATCTGCGAAACGAGACAATTACTGCTTTGAAGATTTACAAATTCTTTTCCAGTACCGAGGTGCTTTCCTTTATCCTGAAAAGAGCCAAAAATATATTTAGTTGGAAAATCAACGACAAGAATCCAGTTTAAAATACTTTCCCTCCGTCTTTCTCGTACTTATCACTAAAACAGACTAGGTGTCATTCAATATACACACTTCTTCTGAGATGTAATACTTCTGTTGACCAGACAACCTCTAATTTGATGGGTTCTTGTTGGCCCGAAGCTCTGTTGTTTCAGAGTTGGGGTTCATTGTTAGTTTTGTTTGGGTTAGGGCTATCTATTGTCTTCTAAACCAATCCTGTGAGACTTTGCACCACAACTACCAGTTAGGTTTCTTGAAAACTTTGTAATTTCGATCTACTGAGCGTCAACTTTTGTTTTAACCATTTTATACTGCAGTAAAATATTAATACACTTAGGAAAACAAAGAGGATACCGCGATGGGTCGGTAGAAGAGAGTTAACGAGTAAAGTCTGACCTCAAGCGACCAGTACCCACAAATGCTAAGATTTAGTGCTCGCTTACGAGGGTCGAAACACAAGGGATCTCTTTCGGGTAAAGGTGTGACATATCCACTGATGAAAAAAAAAAAATTGCATACAAGTTTCGAGTTAAAATACGTGCCGTGCCATGTTGAAACTCTGAGTAGTGTAGTATGTACAGCGCACATAAGTGTCAAGTGCTCGCTGGCAGGGGGTTAAAAACAATGACAATTTTTAAAATCGTCATCCCACACGGTGGTAAAGGTAGTTTACGAGAGGTTCCAACAGCAGAGCTTTCACTGGGAAAATTTTTGTGTTTCGGATCAGTGGCCGCATTAGAGAGGTGGTCGCTTATAGAGGGTTAAAGATTCTCATTGAGATAGGAGGGTGTGAAATAGGGGGAGAAAAGGGGGTGTCCGTCACCCCCATGCCCCTTGCACTTCTATAGTGAGCGTGATCAGAATCTATTTTCTCCTTTAAATAACACAGCTTAATCACACAAAAAGGTCATAAGAATCAAGGATAAGATCACCAAGTAAAAACGGTTTATAAGTGCCACCTGACATCACGACGGCCATGGCGGTGGTTAAGAACAAAGGATTCTCCGAAAAAAGTTTATTGTAATGACCAGCAACATGGCCTCCTGGTCATGTAGTCGCATACCAAGAATATAATAGGCCATGGCAATAAATTAAAGGGGGTTGAGAATGTGCTATTTCATCATCTACGGTGTATTAAAAACGTTTAAACAAAAGAAGCCTCCATTAGAATTCCAACTGACATGACTGTTATCTTGTAGGTTTGTTTTTAGCGACAGATCGCTGCACAACTTAATCAAGAACAGTCTAGATCCCATACTGGAGTCGCAGAAACCGTCTTATGTGGGTAAGAGCTTAGCTTAATGGAACATGAAGGAGAGTATGTGATATTCATTCGAACTGCGGATTACAAGTTTAAAGATAGAAAACTGTACTGAAGACTAACTCAAGTAGTTTGTGGCGTTGAAAGCGAAAGATTTAAAATTTAAGGGGTTGGATGTAGTGATCTTCGTTTACCAACTGATGTCAAAATCGAGTGATCAATTTAATAATTGATCGATCTTTTTCAAGACCGAACGGTTGACAGATTGATTGCAAATTGATTGATTATTTAATGGGGTGAGAGATTGACTAATTCACCATGGTTTATTGATTAACTGAATGACTTTTGATGTTCTCTTGAAGCCGAAAGCTTTGTTGGTAGCTTGTTCGACCGAAAAACAAATGGTTAACTGGTCGGTTGTTTAGTTAATTGTTTGACCTCCCAACTTATCGATTGACTTATGACAATTCACCGAGGCGATTGATTGATTGATTTTGATTGACTGACCGCTGTCGGCCTATGCTGTCAAGTTTTGATCGTTTGCATCATGCAGGTCATATATACTGACTCATAGGCTGCGCGTATAGAAAGTTTTAAGAAGCCCTTTGTGAAATTTACTTCGTCCAATATAAAGAAATTCAAGACAGTCTTGGATTCTAGATTCCAGGCTGTGGATTCCGGATTCCAGGTACTGGATTCTGGATTTCCCGTCAGTGGAAGTTGGATTCTGGATTCCAATAGTTAGCAGGATTCCGGACCGGATTCATTGAGCAGAATTGTGGATTCCAAAGCCGAGAATTCCGGATTCCACGAGAAAAAAATTCCCGGTTCTGGAATTCGGCTCACCTTACGGGGATCATTATACTTTTCTGGGAGACTGCCCACCTACCCCTCCCCTAAGCCAACATTAACACTTACTTCTCACTAAGGGCAAAATGTTGGCTTAGGGGAGGGGTAGGTGGGCAGTTTCCCAGAAACATATAATGATCCTGGTTAATTGATTTGTTGAAAAATTCTATCTTTACGCTTTTGCTTTTTCTGTTCAGGGTCTATCGAGGTTCTGGACTTTACTCTTGGTAACAGAACACCATACATCAAGCACGTGACAATCTACGACAATCCCGATGATCAGAGATATATAAGAGCGTCCGAGCTCAACTTTAACCACCCTCCTGACGATTTAATAACTAGAGGGAAATACCAAGTGGTTATTCACCTCGACGTGGGTCTGACATCACCTGAAGCTAGATTTATCATTCGAATGAGACTCGGGAACAAGGGGTATGGTCTATCTTCTGATATAGGCCAAGTGCAAACGAACGAAACAACTCCCAACATTGTGGACCGTAGCTTAAAGTCTGACCGGTTGAAAACTTTGCGCAACAACTCCCAACAACACGCAACAACATGCAAGGGTGTGCAACAATGTTGGGAGTTGTTGGCCAACAATGTTACGTCCGTTTGCACGGGGCTTTGGTATTAAGGTGCTATAGTATTTTTCAAAAGAAAACAAACAAACAAACAAAAGGCGAAAGATGTTTTTTTCGGTCAGTGACACAGGTGGTTCGGAAGGAAAAATCCGAGCTCTCTCAATCAAGTGTCAAACCTTATGACCTTCTGGTTACTATTCAACCAGATGCTCTACCACTGAGCTACAGATCAAATGATGAATGGCGAATTTTAAGTCTGGCGAATACATGAGACAGATGTTCCTCATCTTTTTCATGTAATCTTCTTGACATAGGTTTTTGAACTAGGAAAACAATGACAAACCTTACTGAATGCGGCGTAACTCTTCTTCATTTCTTTGCAGGTTTCTTGGTACGTGTACCGACGTGGCGGTGGAGGATTTTCAAGTCAGCGGAAAACTCCAACTCGTGTTGTTATTCAATCAAAATGTTCCATTTCCTCATCTGGCCTCTGCGTCGATCTGTTTCACAGAGGAGTAAGAGAAAATGTCCATTAAAGCAATTTATAGTCGTGGCCGAGCGGTTATTGTTATTTGTTATCGCGGGTAAAATCAATTCTTCAGAAGGTTCTTATTTGTCTATCTAAATTAAGGCCAAAATAATTTAACTTTCGAAGTCTCATGGATAAATGAGCTGAAATGAGTTACAGAATGGGCTAAAAAAATCTTTGGTGGGGATGCTTTGGTCCAAATCGTCCTAAATTGGCTCCTGAAGAGGTTGAATTAGATATTGAGTTCGCAGTCTCTCGTTCAACATTAGATGGCAAACTTGGTTATCTCCCCCGCGATTGTTCAGAAATCGGACTAAATGTTAACTAAAGAAGGTAATAGTAGTAGTAATAGTAGTAGTATGACCTTTTCAATTGCGGTTTTCTTTTTTCGTTTTATGCCAGACCGGACGTATCATTCAACATTCGTCTCCTGAAGGCGGTGCAGTTGATGGAGTTCCCTCTTCTAAGACAGTGGATCACGCAGATAGTCAATGAATATCTTAAATTTGGTAACTGCAATTTTGTAATTGCTATTTCTCACGCTCTGTTTATTAGTAATGTTGTGTTACGACTGCTTAGAATACACTAGAGAGATTTAGTATGATGTTTGGGGCAAACGGCAAACGACAGAATTCAAGTTGAGAATTTCTCTAACGAAAGCTGTCCAGGACAACTTTTATGGACAAAACTAACGCGAAAATACAATTTTTGTTGAGATAAGTAATGAATAGTAAATGACAAGTAAAGGGAAAACGTGGTCACGTGGTACAAATTCACGTTTGTTGTTTGCCGTGAACGTGACCCTGGTTCTCTCTAGATGATCGTAAGTTTCAACAAACTTTGGATTTCAGTGGGATACTGGCTGATGCACGCCTGGCAATTACCTTGATGCTTTAAACTGAAATTGTACCACAGAAGGATTGAACATATACTTCAACTAGTAACATGAAAGTGAAACGTCCGGACCACTCCACCTCGTAACTACAAAGTATGTCGGTTTCGGCGGTCGCGGGATTGTTCAGACGTATAAGTTTTTGACTTCCTTGTAATAAAGGCAGAAAAAGATGCCTTGTTCCTTAAATAACCGACCCACGAAAGGGAATCCGAGACAGTCTTGGATTATGGATTCCACGCAGTGGATTCCGGATTCTAGTTAATGGATTCCAGTATCTGTCAGTGGAATTTGGATACCGGATTCAAATAGTTAGTGGGATTCCGGATTCCTTGAGCTGTATTCCGGATTCCAAAGGCCAGGATTCCTGATTCCACGAGCTAAAATTTCTCCGATACCGGAATCCGGATAGGCCCTTTGCAGCTAGCGATTCACGTGGTACAAAACCGCCACGCTAGAGAGCAAAAGTCGCACTGGGACAAGACAAACAAAGAAAAATTACCATTTCAAATTGTGTATGTCTTTTGTTTGTCTTGTCCCAGTGCGACTTTTGCTCTCCAGCGTGGCGGTTTTGTACCACGTGAATGGCTAGCTGCAAAGGGCCTATTACGGTTCCCTAAAAGGTTTAACGCATTGTTCTCACCTGCAGCTCTAGTGGATCCTGGTCACGTAACAATTCCTTTCTGTGATGATCCTGACGTTGTTGGAAGAGGTGCAGCGTATGGTAAGTAACTTTGAACAGGTACTTCACTAAAAATATATACTACTTTATTAACCGAGAGTGAGGTAATTACAAGCAAATCTTGATGTATTGATCGAGCGATAGCGAGGTCAATACATCAAGGCCGAGGTCTGAGATTTCCCTGTAATGACCGAACGGACGAGGTTTGTAAGTTATTTATTATATGGCCTTTTCATTATGGACCTGAGCCTGTGATCAATTAAAACCAACAACTGGTCAGCGGATGACTTTAAAAAGACAATTCACCTCAATAAGTTGTTCACTTGAACCCGCGATACAGTCAGGTGACACTGGTCAGCGGATACCTTAATGACAGCTGTCAATTGACCATAACATGGGTGTCCATAAGGATGTCCACTATCAAGTTAAACACAGATTGTATATGCCTTGGACACCTAGCTAGTAATGCCCGGCCATTACAAAAAAACAGCGAATCAGAGCGCGCGTACTATTGTAGCCATATAATAAGTACGCGTTATTGACCAAGTGTGAGATCAAGATGTCTGCATATTAGCCAAGGTCTTTTTTGCGTTTTATGGACCTACACGACGAACAGACCAATCTCTGGCCATCTAGACTCAACAAGCTTGGTCTATAAAGGATTTGTTATATTTAAAGAGTTAGAAAAGCCTTCATCGTTCAGCCTTTATTTTTCAGCATGTGGAGTTCTTACGCTGACGATTAACGGAGGATCTCATGGAAAACTGACAGGTTAGAAAGCGTTTTTGTTTTCCTGTTTACCATGACAGTACGCGCCACAGTGAGTTTACGCAACAGGACGGATTGAAGAAGAGGACGGGAAAACGCTTAAGTGACAAACATGACAGGGCTATTACGTGGGTGTTTTGTCGTGATCTTCACTTTATACTAATGTTTCTGGTCTTTCACGAAAAGAGCTGGCTAAGGAAAAGTGAAGTTTGGCGAAAATTTATTTCAAACAAAATTATTGTCACGCTTGTCACACAAGGTTTGCCTCTTCTTTCCTCCCTCGTCCTGTTGCGTAAGTTCACTAGTATCGTGACTGGCGCCCTGCAAGCAGAGCCTCTACTTCCTGAATGAGGTGGAGAAAAGGAGGCTGCCTTGAAGTCGCCGCGACCCGACCTTCTCGACTGGTCAATCTTGTTTTCTCTCGTCAAAGTGGTTTTTCGACTGCGAGCATCCGTTTATTGATTAAACTGATGGTTACAACTGAGCCCGCTATACCAAACGTATGGCTATTAAGCCTGGGTTTGAAATTGTATCCTAGCAACATGCTGCGCATGTTCAAATGAGATCTTACTCCATTCATGCAGAGTAATTCTTGAGTACGCCAAAATCGAGAAAGAAAAATAAAGGCTCTGTTGGCTGGTGCGTGATTGGGTGCGGTATCAATCGACTTTACTTACTTGCATGATTTTGTCCACCAAATCGTTTGCGTTCTAGATGACCCTTACTGGTGCTCTGTGAAGATTGCCGGTCAAAAGCGATTTACCAGGGAGGTGATAGGAGATACCGCCTGGACTGAAAATATATCCTTACTGGTGTATCACCTGTATGCCGACAAGGTAAAGACAGAAATGTTGGTTACATTTCATTAAACAGCGACTAAACATTCGATCTTTAATGCAAACAGTGCAAACATGAAAAAGCTTTCGGGACCTCAAATGGGTTTAAGACTCCAGGGGCCCGTTTCTCGAAAGTCCCGGTAACTTTACGGGCCCGAAATCAAATATTCAAATCGAAATATAAAGAATAAGAGCGCGGGTCCTGGCTAGCAAACTACTCCATTTTGTTTCATTAACTGACAGTTTTATCATGTTAGATGCAAACTACTGAAACCTCGATCTTTAATGTAAACGGAGACAGCTTACCGGGCCCGTTAATTATCGGGACTTTCGAGAAACGGGCCCCAGAAAAACGGTCCCCCACCGCGGGTATAGTTTAAAAGAACTTCAGCAACGACTACGGAGACGGAAGTGAGAACGTCACTTTAAAAATTAATACGCTNCCCCCCCCCCCCCCCCCTGAGGTGACCTGCGGTTTTCTAATACAACTGGTATTCTGCAAAAGAAAAAAAAACTATGTGGTTTATTGGTGTTGAAGTAGAGCAAGAGACGAGTGCACCCCCTCCTAAAAAAAATCCTGGATCCGCCCCTGAAAATTTAAAACGTCGCAAATCTGTTGCCCTTTTGAAGTTCTCCTTCACCTTACTGTTGACACCGTCATTGATATAATAGTCCTAACAAGTCCTTGATTGATTAACGAAGATTCGCTCTGTTGTTTGCTTTGCCTAGCTGACAATGACACAATCCGTGTTGCTCACGTTTTTCTTTTTTCAGCTTGTAATCAAACTCAAAGGAAGAAGAAAACTTGGTACGAAGTACACTATCGCTGAACATGTTTTGCAGTTATCCACACTATGCCTGGAGAGCAATCCTCATCAGTAAGTGCTCTAGGGAAATGTGCTGACAACGTTGAAATTGTTTCTTACTCGCAGAAATGGTCAAAGTTAAAACTCAGAGAGGGGGGTGCCGAAGAAACAAAAGGGGCCACGCAAAAGTACTGCTAAAGAAGTCTCATTAAAATCGCCACACCTGGTATTTTGTGCAGCAAAAATGGTAATTGCGGAAGTGGACAGAGTGCTTCTTAATTATGTTTCGGGGATAGAAATCGAGAAACGGGCGGAGGGTTCAGTTTGTAGGTTCGCAGTTGTGCCTAAAATACTTTAACTTGAATTCTAACTATAATCCTAAACTACCTTCATTCTAACCCGTACCTGCACCTGCAAATAGACCTTATAGAAAATTTGCTTATTCTAGACAACAGAAAATGAAGATGGCAAATGATGGGTGTAAATGATCTTTGTTCCTTTTATGGATGCAGTAGCGAATATAAATATCCCCACAGCAATTAGTAATGACTAAAAACTAGTCGAAACTCGAACTGTACATTTTGCATGACTAGTAAATCGTTGTGTCCTTTTAAGAGAATAAACAAACTCGACCGCGATTTCTCGTACTGGCAAATTTTGTCGCTTGTTTTCTCCCTGAAATACCACGTGACATTATTTTTGTCCCATCAATCCTAAACCGCGGACAAAGTTGGCGCGTATCGTGAATAAGGTCTGTTTAACCCAGCGGAATGGCGGCCATTTTCTCTGTCACAAAAAATTACGTCGCTTTCAAGCAGGCTAAGCCTGACTCATTTTCACGTTAAAACCATGTGACGTCACACAGTTCACCACTGCCTCAAAAAGACAAGAGTGGAATCTCGAAAGCACTTTAGTAATCTGTGATTTCTATGAAGGAGTATTACCCATCAGCTTTATTTTTATTTAACGTATAGTGTATATTNCAATTAGTAATGACTAAAAACTAGTCGAAACTCGAACTGTACATTTTGCATGACTAGTAAATCGTTGTGTCCTTTTAAGAGAATAAACAAACTCGACCGCGATTTCTCGTACTGGCAAATTTTGTCGCTTGTTTTCTCCCTGAAATACCACGTGACATTATTTTTGTCCCATCAATCCTAAACCGCGGACAAAGTTGGCGCGTATCGTGAATAAGGTCTGTTTAACCCAGCGGAATGGCGGCCATTTTCTCTGTCACAAAAAATTACGTCGCTTTCAAGCAGGCTAAGCCTGACTCATTTTCACGTTAAAACCATGTGACGTCACACAGTTCACCACTGCCTCAAAAAGACAAGAGTGGAATCTCGAAAGCACTTTAGTAATCTGTGATTTCTATGAAGGAGTATTACCCATCAGCTTTATTTTTATTTAACGTATAGTGTATATTCTTTAACGGATTTGTTGTGATTCAGAGACCACGCACTGGAAAAGTCATTTAGACCCGCTACTCTCACACTACAAATGGAATACACGCCACTCCCAGTGATTGACGTAAATCACTTGATCCCACCCGAAGAGTTTAGCAGAAACTATGCAAGTAGACTACGAAATCTTTACCCGAATGAAGGTAAATTCCAAACTAGCACTTGTACACGTCTTAAAATGGCGAGCTTCCAGGCAAAATTAGTAATTTGCACGATCACCTTGAAGTCAAGCAATAGCTTTAGACGACGTAAAAACGTGTTAAAAACATCCACGGGTGACCAACCCAGCGCAATGTTTTTACCCTTATAACTACCACACTTTGACGTAAACTTTGCCATACAGGCGAACAGACACCCGACAAAATGGAATGCTTTTGTAAAATACATCTCCCAGAAAACTTCCGTTTGAGTAAGGTAACTGTTTGACTTCTATTTCTGAAAATGAAGAAATGATCGTCGCAGTGAACGCAATTTATGCAATTGCGTAAAGAAGCCTGAAAAAAAATTCAGGACTTCAACAGGGTTTGAACCCGTGACCTCGCGATTACCGGTGCGATGCTCTACCAACTGAGCTATGAAGCCACTGACGTTGGGAGCAGGTCAATTGTGGGTTCATATGTTCCCGTGAAAGAAATGAGTGTTAATGATATATGAAATAAATCATGTATATGAACTGCTGAAATGAAATGAAAATGAAGAAACGATCGTCGCAGTGAACGCAATTTATTTCATATATCATTAACACTCCTGTTTCTGTTGATATCAGTTTCAGGGGTGTTATTAGTGTGCGCCCACAGCGGCCATAACTTGGTACCCATGGACAAACACGGACTCAGTGACCCCTACTGCGTCATTTATGAAAACAGCAGACAGGTAAAAAAAACATTCGCCACTTAAGAAACGAGAAGGAACTGTGCCGAGTTAGCTCGCGCAAAGGCTTCTGGGACTGTTACTAGCGACGGGGAAAAAATTGGCCAATCGCTGACCGGCACGTCACCAGTCACGATCCCAGAAACAACTGCGGGAGACATTTCGGCTCCAGTTCCGTCTCACTTCTAATGTTGCAAATTAAAATCCAGGGCAGAGTTGTTCAAAGCTGTGTTAAGATAACCAAGGGCTAGTGCGAATTTGAATTCAGAAAGCATTTCAGTTTTAATTCTTTTTGTCTACTAGTTGATGATTGAAAGCTCTAAAAATAGCACAGAAAATTATCCGAGAAAATGTTTTTGAACACAAGAAAAAGAAACCCGGGTTAAGCGCTAATCGGCCTTCGAACAACTGGACCCAGGAGTCATTTCACAAGTAGGTTGAGTATGATCGTCCGGGTGAACATAGTCCTGAATAGGACTGTTGTTGTTGACAGTGACTGACGTTTCGACAACCTCTGCAGTAGTCATCTTTCATAGGCAAACGAAAGATATAAACGTACAAATCTTACTCCAAACAATGAAATATACAGAAGTGAAATGATATCCCTTCCTGAAATACCTCTTCAAGTCTTTCAAGAACTAAAGGCTAAGAAAGAATCGAACTGTAAGGATATCTCACTTCTCAACACTAATAAAATAAAATAACAATCTCACACTCCATTTACTTCATAAGAGTGCTCCGTTGTCGAGGGACACTAATTTCAAATGAAAACTACGATAATATGTTCTCACAGACAGTTTTCAAATACTCGCGGCTTCTGAGCGTAAAAGTTTCAAATAGGCGCTGTGGTCCTGTTGAACTGCGGCAATCCATTTTTTAGTGGATACCATATTTATTTTTTTTATTTTCAGGCCAAACGAGGAGAGACCGTTAAAGGAACTTTGAGCCCCGTTTGGGATACAATGGTAGAAATACTTGTAGCTGATTACACCCAGGTTTGTTGTTATTTGTGCCAGATGTCGATCACTCTGGCCTAGTCCCCTGTATTGTTTTGACGGTCATGCGACGCAATGCATTGTGTGGGATTAAGACGAGCGAGTCCTATTTGGTGACGTCCTCGCTCAAGATAGAACCCAGGCCCCTAATTGTTCAAAAGGTGGATAACGTGATCAGCTGAATAAATCTCTACCGACTGGATAGAACAACTGGTTTCCCTAATACTTATCCAGCGGATAGTGCTTTATTCGGTGGACAGCGCTATCCAGCTTTTGGACAACTAAGTCCAGGGGTCCAGTTATTCGAAAGGTGGTTAACGCTATCAAACTGGATAAATCTCTATCCAGTGGATAACGTAATTGGTTTCCCTAATACTTATCCGCTGGATAGTGATTTATCCCTTGGATAGCGCTAACCAACGTTTGAACAACCTTGGCCAGAGCCCCTGACTCGTTTGTACTGAGAAGGTCTTAGAATTAGAGAGTATTTTTCCACAGCACTGATATCTTTTCAAGATATGGTGTGGAGTTACAGTCAAATTCAGCCTTTTACCATATTTCTATTTTTTTCAGACAACGCTATCTTTTGTTGTTCTGGATAAAGATACAAATGCCATCAAGATGATCAAAGATGACCGGGATGATTTTATGGGATCTTGCAACCTGTCCTTGACTCAGGTAAAAGAAAAACCATGAAGCCCAACCTACCCTTCCCCTAACCTAACATTTTGCTCTAAGAAAGAAGTGATTGCTAACGTTAGGTAAGGGGAGGGGTAGGTAGGGAGTTTCCCAGGACCTTACAGAAGTAAAAGCGGCCACATTCAAATTTGTTGCGCACATTGCTCGGCGCGTACAGTGCGTCTTTCACGCGGGAAATTTCAAACCTGCTCTGCTGATTGCTTGTATTATCATAGGACCCAACCATAAACGTGAAGATGATTTAATTAGCCGTAGCGATCTCAGGCGCTATTTTGCTCTTTTCAGGATTCACCGGTGCTTTTTAAGAAAAATCTAGACTTGATGTACAAAGTCAAGGGATCTGGTATGATGAAGGCGGGAAAATTATGTGTGTCCGCCATCTTTAGACCTGTTCCGTCAGTCGTCAAGTCGGGTGAGTACAAATACCTCAGCTTAGTACCCAGGCCTTCTCATGCGCTTGCTCGTGACATTGGGCGGGAATTTGTCCCTTTTGGCTCCACATTGTTCCACCGAGTCTCAAAAAATCTGATAAGGAATGTTGTTCAAGTGTGAGCAGCCGTTCCTTTGGGGAGAATTGTTGCGTGACAAGAAAGGAACAGCTGGATGGGAGAGTAGAGCTCACTGAACGTCAGTCTTATGCCGCTGATTATACTTATTTCATCTCTTTTCTTTTAGAAACGAGAGAAAATGGCCAAGGACTACCGGAGGGAGAGTCTCCAGGACCAGTAAGTTATTCTGAATACTTATACGGGTATAGAATGGTACCTTGAAAAACTCGGGTGTCTGGAAATTTTGGCACGATCTCGAGACCTCGGAAGCGTTTTTGATGGGTCTTGAAGTCTCGATTTTGAGTGATTTTTGCGTCTCGGAGTCTTGATTTTTTTTTTGCCGACGGGTCTCGGAGTTTTCAATTTGTCGTAATTTCTTTCCGTTTGGTCTTCAGGATTCGAATTTTTTTAGAGTTCATGGGTACAACTTATCAAACTGAGCCAGTAGATTACGACAGTAAAACAAGACAAAGCAGTGTATTGGTGGGCTCCCGCTATAGCTTCCATTGGCGTTTATGATCATTTTATTTAGCTTTAATTTATTTGTACCATTTCCTCTAAATTTTCGGGGCTTAAAGTAGCCGGCTCGGATTTTTTAGAAGTAAAGTCTCGGGCTAGGAGTTGATAAAAATGCTCGAATTTTGAAACAGTCTCACAGTCTCGAAAGTCTCGAATTTAGCATACTATATTCACCCTTTTTGCAAAAAACTGACGCTTGATAATCGACCCTGTAATTCTCGTCCCAGGCTGTTATCCCAAAACTTCAACTCAACTGAAAAGCGAATTCCTCATGTGATTTTTGCGTCTCGGAGTCTTGATTTTTTTTTTTGCCGACGGGTCTCGGAGTTTTCAATTTGTCGTAATTTCTTTCCGTTTGGTCTTCAGGATTCAAATTTTTTTAGAGTTCATGGGTACAACTTATCAAACTGAGCCAGTAGATTACGACAGTAAAACAAGACAAAGCAGTATATTAGTGGGCTCCCGCTATAGCTTCCATTGGCGTTTATGGTCATTCTATCTAGCTTTAATTTATTTGTACTATTTCCTCGAAATTTCCGGCGCTTTAAGTCTCCGGCTCGGATTTTTTAGAGGTAAAGTCTTGGGCAGTTAGTAAAAACGCTTAAGTCTGAGTCTCGCATTTTGAAACCAGGGACTCACAGTCTCGCAAAGTCTCGAGTTTACCATTCTACATTTACCCTTTTTGCAAAAGTGTAAAAACTGACGCTTGATAATCGACCCTGTAATTCTCGTCCCAGGCTGTTATCCCAAAACTTCAACTCAACTGAAAAGCGAATTCCTCACAAGTTCGACGAAAAGTTAACTCGTTGGTTTCGTGTATTTAAATATTCAGAGAGATGTCAAAACGGAGGCACAAACATTGGAAGCTTTGCTGAGAGCAGGTATTTATATCAATATTACCACTGAAAAAATGCAAGGCACAGAACTCACATCCGGGCGGTTATAGCATACGCAAACAAACAATTCGACGAGTGCCGTTCCAGGCGCGCATGTGGCGCATGACAAGTCAAGATAGTTCTATAGCAATTGGATTTTTCGAATGACACTGAGAAAAGAAAATTGATTCGAAAAATCAGAGGTAAAAGACAGTGGTAAAGGGAAGACGAGTTGGATTCGAATATACAAGGGTTCAAGAAATTGGGATTCTAATGTAGTTTACTGCTGCGGGTTAGCTACAAGAACCGTTTGCTTTGGTAGCTTAGCACATCAGGCGAGGTGAAGTTTTTATAGACCAATTCAAAGAGATTGTTTGTACTTTTTTCACAGAAAGAGGAAGTATTGAGGTTAACATTTACCAGGGGCGCGATTTGGTGGCAAAAGATGTAAACGGTAAGAAAACAGGCTTGCAGATAACAGAGCATTTCAGTTCATTTCAGTTCGGACAATCTCTCAGAGAGAGCTCTGAACATTCCCCCAAAAAATTGGGGTGATTCACGGTTAACAGACAAAGAGAAGAAATAAAATGCGTACCAGGAATTACTCAACACATTTTAAGCCGAAAATGGAAAATCGGACTCGCGCCCTTTTGACGAAATCTTTCAGCGTTGTTATAGACTGAACTTAAAACGTAAATGGGAGGAAGCTGTGAGAAGTGCACAAGGAAGGTGAGGTGAGGTGTGATCCCAGAACACTCAACAGTTTATTGAGGGGGAGGGGTGAGAGGTGGTCCCAGAGCTGTCCATTGAGGGGGGACGGGAGTGAGATTTGGTCACAGAGCTGTTTATTGAGCTGGGAGGGGTGAGATGTGGTCCAGAGCTGCCCATTGAGCGGGGAGGGGAGAGAGATTTGGTCCCAGGGATGTTTATAAAGGGAAAGTGAGAAAAAGAAGAAGTCAAGAAGATTGTCCAATTCAATCTCCACCCGTCTTTCAGGTAAAAGTGACCCCTTTGTAACAGTGAAGGAGGGAAGCGAAGGAAGAGAGAAGTTTAGAACACGAACTATTGACAACACCCTCCAGCCAGTATGGAACGAATCAACAGTAGTGGCCATGCCTGACACAAACGGACTGCTGCTTTTGGTAACGACTTACATACAGTGGAACCCCGTTAATACGGTCACCGATAGGCCAAAAAAAAATTGGCCGTATTAATGGATGACCGTATTAACGAGGGTTTTTTTTTTACAAGAAAATGTATGGCCTTTTTGTCAGGCGGCCAAAAAAACGTGGCCGTAATAACAAGGTGACGTATTACCGGGGTGGCCGTAAGGCGGGGTATCACTGTAATTAAAGATTAAAAGCAAACTGCGATTGTTTGTACAGAGACAGTGCAACCTTGCAAACTAAAGACGAGAATTGTCTTTGGATACCTCGAAACCACAGAAGAATAGACAACAAAAAAGCCAAAATAGCCTCTGCATTCGAGTTTTCCGTTTCAATTTATGAATTCTTGTTTTTAATAATTAGCTTATGCTAAAGGCCACGAGTTAAACGGGAAGAGAGTAACCAGTTAAGCAAAAAAGCTAGACGCGCGACGCGCAGTGACAGTAACATAAACATAAAAGAACACATAAAAGACTTCCGCCCGTATCTGTTCACAAAATGATTGTAAGTTTGGTTTGTTCCTGCAGGAAGTTTGGGATAAAGATCCACTGTCGCAAGAAAGAATGGGTCAACTTGCTTTTACAACAGAAAAACTTAAAGACTTAGGAATGGTAAGAAAAACGATTACCTTTTCTCAGGTCGCTCTTAACTCTCGCCAGGACCATTGCTTGACTATTTTAAGTCCTGATTCTAATTTCTACCTTTCAAAGAAGGAAGCCTGCAAAAAGAAGCAAAGAAAGTAATGAAATAATTGAATCTAATATGGACACTCTAAGTTTTGGTGTTCACGAACTACTTAACTAGTCCATCTAAAGTAAAGCATCTTAAGAAAAAGCGCTGACCGTTCGTTTTATCGCAACTAATTAACCATCAAGAAAATTACGACCTCCTCACAAGTTTCTGCTTACATAAAAGGCTGAAGACTGAAGGTTTGTTTATAGTGGAAAATGTAGTTTGCTTATCCAGCTATTTTATAGGCACTCCAGTTAAACAATTCTAAAATAAACTATCCAAATAAAACATAACAGGATTAAAAACCCCAACTGCCAGGAGGCAACCAGTTGTCTATTTACAAGCATGGTTGAGGATTTGAAGTTAGGACAACTGAGAACAAATCCAGCAAGTGGCCAGAGCGGGACTCAAACCCGGGACCGACGGATTGCGAGTCCGACAAGCTTACCACTCGGCCACGCTTACATAGGAAGAAAACATTAGAGAAAAGCGACATGTTAGTATCGACTAGGAAAACATTTTCGAGATCCTTTTTTTTTCCTTTTCACGAACGATTCTCTCTTTGTTTTCCTCTGCAGGCTCCGTATGAGAAGCATTGGTATCGACTTCGCGGAGTGAAAAGCGGAGAACTGCAAGTGGCATTTAAGTACACTCCACCAGAGGTAAAAAAAGCTGTAAAGAAAATTTAGTGTTTTTTTAACTATAAAACACAAATCAATAAGGAGCACACTTTAGCTTTTATACAGAATAAAAATCATAGACATACACCTCAGTTTATAAATCCTTTAGTTTACATTCTATTTTCCAGCAAAAACCAAACATTCGCGGGTAGAAATTGTGCAAACGTATTGCTCACGGGAGCTCAAACTAACTTTAAAATATGTGGACAGAATCCTGTGATTTTACTGTTTAAATGAAACCTTTTTGGCAGACTTTTTGCATAATACTATTTACAACCCAGGATTTACAAAAAAAATATAATTTTTTGTGAATTTTTCACCTTGTCCATTACTAGGAGTGAAAGGGTTAATATAGAACTTAAATTAACGTTACAGGCAGCAGATGAGTACACCAATAACTCGGGGAATCCAGTGATTCGAAAGCCAAGAGGTTTGTATATTAAGGTATTTCACTACACAGACCAGTTAACAATCGAGTATCACAATTCAGACTGCCAATTGAATGAACCAATCACATCTCAAGTACGTGTAACCAGTGCAGAGCGCGGGAAAATGGGCGTGAGCCTTGATCGTGGTTCTGATTGGTGGAGAAAATGGCGTGATATTTTTGGGGGCCAATCACATAGCGTTGCAATGCAGTTAAAGCAATCACGACTTTATTTTAAACTCAGTAGGGAAAGCCTTTCTGAAAGATACTTGAATACTCTTAAATGTGGAGATTCAGCCTCGTTTTCGGGAAAATCGGGGCACGAAATGTCCGAGCTAAGCATTTATTTTTCAACATTTTGCATATTGAACACATTTGCAGACGAATAAAAAAGTGCAACGTGGTGTAATGCGCTTCCTGAGATTTTTTCTTTCACCTCAGAAGCCTAGTTTATTTGAGTTTACACGTGTTTTCAATTACAACTAAGCTTGAAGGTTCCTTAGATCACTGGTCAAGCTGTGTTCAAGCGAAAACTGCTAACCCGAGCTCTGAATTCCATCGTATCCATTCGCCACCTAAGAAACGAGAATAAACCTGGGTCAAGGTAACTTTAGCAAAGACTTCTGGGACAGATTTTAGGGACAGGGAAAAAATTGTCCAATAGCTGACCGGCTCGTCCGCAGTAACGATCCCAGAGACAACAATCTCGTTCCCAGGTTCTCTCTCCTATCCGTCTCTCTCTCGCTCCGTAGGGACGGGTTGTTGAGAGAACCTGGGAACGAGGTTGCCAGAGACAATTGCGGGACGCATTTCGGTTCCAGTTCTCTGCTCATTTCACCAAGTGGTGAATTGGAGTAATTTCACCGACCATATAAGGTAAGGCCTCTACATTAAAAAAAATAATGGCATTTTTCGGAAAGGCCTATTGTAAACCGCTTCGCTTTAAAGCCGTATGTTTCATTGAAAAGAATCAACCAATGCTATCAGTGGATTTTCTTGAGCTTTTGCTTCTGCGAGTTATTTTAGAATGCGAGAGTGCCTTATCACTAAGAGGGACCAATGATGAAGGCTCAAAAGGTCAACCTCATCCGTAGGGCTTTTGCCATGTTCTAAAGCCCTGGGGTCGAGGTTGACAAAAGGTGTCGGTCCAAGCGAGGGTTGGCTGTATTAATAGACTACGAGTAGTCCCCATTTTTCCTCGGGGATAGCAGAGTGAGCGAAACGCGAGCGCGCGTGAAAATCCCCCCACGCGAGAAAGGCGAGACGCGGCGGGGAGGGAGAAAAACGAGCGTCTCGTCTTTCTAGTGCGGGGTGATTTTCACGCGCGCTCGATCTACTTTCCCTGAGGGAAAATGGGGGCTACTCGTAGTCTATTGTACTAAGGTTGGAAATTTTAATTTTTACCGCAGCAAAAAGTTCAGTGGCATCTTCCGACTCGCTGAGTTCCAACGGTTCTCTACCTTTCTCCGTAACTCAGTCTACCTCGTCTCCCTCGACACCCGAAAAGCCTCTAAAGGAGGAAAAGAGCAGTGTAACGTGGGGAGGTCTTGTTCAGAGCATAAAAAGGAAAGAAGAGAGAAGAACGAACATGACCGAAGATGGTACTGCCGTTTCTCCCAGTGCATCCCCACGGGTAGAAAAGAAAGAAACTTATCAGCTTAAAGACTGGCCTAGCAAGAGTGGACGCCTAAAAAGCGCTGTTGTTGAGACAGTCCGTTCTCTTCGTAGGGACAAAGCATCGGCTGGTGCTTCCTGGAATGAAGGAAACCCTGATGCTGGCATAGCTGAGATGAAAAGCGACACGGAAACACGAAAGCCTAAGAGTGCAAGGCTTCTTCGCAAAAAGTTCTCGTTTATGAAAGATCGTCGACCACGCAGCAGGAGTGAAAGCAATTTACCGGAGATTTCCTCGTCACACGATGACATGAACCAAAACCACAACCCGAAAGAACTTATCCGGCGAAGCAGCGAGAATTTTACCGGCTCGACATCGCTAAATCGTCAAAGGAGCTCGGAAAATAATTCCTACTCCCTCCCCAACAGCCCCGCCACAGCGTTTGTCGCCAGGAGTTATTCCACGCGGCTCGTGCGAAGAAATAATTCACGAAGCACGGTTTCGTGCAGCTCAACCTCCCGTGGCTCAAGCCCCACGCACTCGGCTCAGGAAAAATGTCCCACCTGCGATTTTGACGTTTTAATCCTGACTGAATGTCCAAGCTCTACTGTTCCAGATGAGAATAACACTACTATTTCCACGCAGGAAAGATTAATAAATTAACACCGATAGATACTGTTAAGTATAATAATCAAAGTCGACAGTCAGGCAATATCATGCCGTAACGGAAACAAATACTGCATGATGCAGTGTTTTTAGCGTACTTCCGGAACATTTGACCTTCTTGTATTCATTTTCATTCCTTCGACTAGACAAGGATCACCCTAGATTTATTTTTATTCGAACCGAAATAAGCATCTTAAGGACATATATTTGTTTAGGATTTTAATTCGATTTGTTGTTTTGTTGTTTCAAAGAGAGACGTCTACAGTAGCAGGCAGGGATGGGTAGAGAGTACCCGTTGTCACGCAGACTCGTCACGCATTATTGCGTGACGACACCAAGACAGCCATTTATTAAATTCGATTTAATTTCATTAGATGAAATGTCTAATCTCTTTCGGACAAAAAGTTAACATTAATGATATTACTTTTAGGTCAACGATACACCTGCTTTCGGGCAACAATAACTAGACCACACTGAATGTTGTAAAGACATTTCATTTATCCCGTTTAACATTGTATAAATCCACGAGATCTGACAAGAAACAAGCCTTACGTTACGCGCCTTTTTCTTGCCAATGTGGTCTAGCTGCTTGTTTTTTTTGAACTTGAATATCACTTGAAGAGCTCTCAAGAGCTCTTAATTTGAAACAAAAGAGTAAAAACAATCTCCTTATCTCAAGATCCAGCTAACAGATAAACAAAATACCTGAAAATACTGAGACATGAACCGGCGAATTGCCCACTCCTCGTCGTCACTTAGATTCGAACTCTTTCAAGTACGTGACATTAAATAAAACAAGTCATCTCCTACCTTGAGGTTTAATTGTCAACTTCTTCCTCTGCTGTTTCTTGCCTCCCTTCCATTTGCGACCGCCATATTGTCATTCGAGTCTTTAGCGCGCAGTACAAGACGTACCAAGCTCTACGGCGATAAACCGCAGAACCGTTTACCGCCGGCTTTTAAATGCGCCCGGGCCGCATGCGGAAAGCCTGGAACAGTATTAAAAAATTGCTTTGATGAGGAGTATGTGAGCCGCTGTCTTGTTGCCTTTTTTTTCGCTTGCTCAGTCAATCGCTTTTTCGCTGCTCGCCCGCTTGTTTCGCTCGTCTGCACTGGGATGATTCACGTAAGCAATCAGCGCTAGTAATAATAACCTCTCCTGTTTCCCCGGGGTTTCCACAGGAGTCCGTTTTGGTTGAGTCACCGCGCAACAAAGTCGACTAGCGAGAAAGTCCGGGTTTCTATGAGAGCAAGGGTGGCACAGTGGTAAGAGCACTCGCCTCTCACCGAAGTGGCCCGGGTTCAAATCTCCGCTTCAACGCCACATGTTGGGTTGAGTTTGTTGTTGGTTCTCTCCCTTCCTCTGAGAGGTTTTTCTCTGGGTATCCCGGTTTTCTCCTCTCCTTAAAAAACAACACTTCCAAATTGATCTGAAACACGCGGACACGTTTAAACGAGTTCTTAATTTAAAGAACTCCTAAGTGCTTAGTGGGTAAACAAATAACAAAAAATAAAGGCAAAGTTAAATACTTAAGAACAAAAATTATTAATCGAATACGATTTCCGGTGCTCAATTTGCCCTTCTCTCATTGGTCAATTCGTTTTTTCGATCTGCGCGCTGCGCGTCACTGTCATTGTATTTGGTAAAAGAACACATAAAAGACTTCCGCCCGTATCTGTTCACAAAATGATTGTAAGTTTGGTTTGTTCCTGCAGGAAGTTTGGGATAAAGATCCACTGTCGCAAGAAAGAATGGGTCAACTTGCTTTTACAAAAGAGAAACTTAAAGACTTAGGAATGGTAAGAAAAACGATTACCTTGTCTCAGGTTGCTCCTAACTCTCGCCATTACCATTGCTTGACCATTTTACATCCTGATTTTAATTTCTACCTTTCAAAGAAGGAATCCTGCATAAAGAAGCAGAGAAAGTAATGAAATAATTGTATTTTATATGGCTAGTCTAAATTTTGGTGTTCACGAACTACTTAACTAGTCGATCTAAAGTTAAGTATCTCAAGAAACAAGGCTGACCGTTCGATTCATCGCAACTAATAAACCATCAAAAAAATTACGACTTCCTCACAAGTTTCTGCTTACATAAAAGGTTTGAGGCCAAAGGTCTTTTTATAGTGGAAAGTGCACTTAGCTTATCCAGCTAGTTTACAAGCACTCCACTCAAACAATTCTAAAATAAACTATCCAAATAGAACACAACAGGATTAAAAACCCCAACTGGCAGGAGGCAGCCGTTTTTGTCTCTTTACAAGAATGGTTGGGGATTCGAACTTAGGACAACTGAGAACAAATCCAGCAAGTGGCCAGAGCGGGAATCAAAACCGGGACCGACGGATTGCGAATCCGACAAGCTGGCCACTCGGCCACGCTTACATGGGAAGACAAACGTTAGAGAAAAGCGACATGTTAGTATCGACTAGGAAAACATTTTCGAGATCCTTTTTGTCCTTTTCACAAACATCTCTCTTTGATTCCCTCTGCAGGCTCCGTACGAGAAGCATTGGTATCGGCTTCGCGGAGTGAAAAGCGGAGAACTGCAAGTGGCATTCAAGTACACTCCACCAGAGGTCAAAAAAGCTGTAAAGAAAATTTAGTGTTTTTTTTTTAACTATAAAACACAAATCAATCAGAAGCTCACTTCTGCCTTTATATAGTATACACATCATACACATACATCTCAGTTTACAAACCCTTTATTTTCCAGCCAAAAACCAAACATTCGCGGGTAGACATTGTGCAAACACATAGCTTATCATTATGGGAGCTCAAACTTCCTTAAAATATCCTGATATCCTGGTCAGAATCGAATCCTGCGATGTTACCGTTCAAATGAAACCTCTTTGGGAGACGTTTTGCATAATACTATTAACTACCCGGGATTTACAAAAAAAATGGAATTTTTTGTGAATTTTTCACTTTGTCTATTACTAGGAGTGAAAGGGTTAATATGAAATTTAAATTATCGTTACAGGCAGCAGATGAGTACACCAATAACACAGGGAATCCAGTGATCCGAAAGCCAAGGGGTTTGTATATATATTACGGTATTTCACTACACAGACCAGTTTCCAATCAAGTATCACAATTCAGACTGCCAATCGAATGAACCAATCACACCTCAAGCACGTGTAACCGGTGCACAGCGCGGGAAAATGGGCGTGAGCCTTGATCGTAGTGCTGATTGGTGGAGAGAATGGCGTGATATTTTTGGGGGCCAATCACATAGCGTTGCAATGCAGCTAAAGCAATCACGACTAGTTTTAAACGCAGTAGGGAAGGCCTTTCCGAAAGATACTTGAACACTCTTAAATATGGAGATTCAGCCTCGTTTTCGAGAAAATTGTGGCACGAAATGTCCGAGCTCTCAATATCTTGCATATTAAGAACGTTTACATACGAATGAAAAAGTGCAATGTGGTGTATAACGGTTCCTGTGATTTTTTTCTTTCACCTCAGAACTTCAACTTCAACTTTATTTGCACTGTTCAGAAGCCTACTACTTTTAGCATTTGATTCGTGAAAACGCGAGAAACGCGAGACGCACCGGGGAGAGAGAAAAATGAGCGTCTCCCCTTTCTTGCGTGGGGTGATTTTCACGCGCGCTTTACTATCCCGGAAGAAAAATGGGGTCTACTCGTCGTCTTCTATATTGAGGTTGTAAATTTTACTTTCTACCGCAGCAAAAAGTTCAGTGGCATCTTCCGACTCGCTGAGTTCCAACGGTTCTCTACCTTTCTCCGTAACCCAGTCTACCTCGTCTCCCTCGACACCCGAAAAGCCCCCAAAGGAAGAAAAGATCAGTGTGACGTGGGGAGGTCTCGTTCAGAGCATAAAGAGGAAAGAGGAGAGAAGAACGAAGATGAACGAGGATGGTGCTGTGGTTTCTCCCAGTGCATCCCCACGGGTAGAAAAGAAAGACACTTATCAGCTTAAAGACTGGCCTAGCAAGAGTGGACGCCTTAAAAGCGCTGTTGTTGAGACGGTCCGTTCTCTTCGTAGGGACAAAGCATCGGCTGGTGCTTCCTGGAATGAAAGCAATCCCGATGCTGACAGAGTTGCAGAGATGAAAAGCGACACGGAAACACGAAAGCCTAAGAGTGCAAGGCTCCTCCGCAAAAAGTTCTCGTTTATGAGAGATCGTCGACCACGCAGCAGGAGTGAAAGCAATTTACCGGAGATTTCCTCGTCACACGATGACATGAACCAAAAACACAACCCGAGAGAACTTATTCGGCGAAGCAGTGAGAATTTAACCGGCTCGACATCGCTAAATCGTCAAAGGAGCCCGGAAAATAATTCCTACTCTCTCCCCAACAGCCCCGCCACAGCGTTTGTCGCCCGGAGTTATTCCACGCGGCTCGTGCGAAGAAATAATTCACGAAGCACGGTTTCGTGCAGCTCAACCTCCCATGGCTCAAGCCCCACGCACTCAGCTCAGGAAAAATGTCCCACCTGCGATTTTGACGTTTTAATCCTGACTGAATGTCCAAGTTCTACTGTTCCAGATGAGAATAACACTACTATTTCCACGCAGGAAAGATTAATAAATTAACACCGATAGATACTGTTAAGTATAATAATCAAAGTCGACAGTCAGGCAATATCATGCCGTAACAGAAACAAATACTGCATGATGCAGTGTTTTTAGCGTACTTCCGGAACATTTGACCTTCTTGTGTTCATTTTCATTCCTTCGACTAGACAAGGATCATCCTAGACAGGGGCGGATCCAGGATTTTTTTTAGGAGGGGGTGCACTCGTCTCTTGCTCTACTTCAACACCAATAAACCACATAGGTTTTTTTTTGCAGAATACCAGTTGTATTAGAAAACCGCAGGTCATCT